CACCCCCCCCCCCCCCCCCCCTCCTTTCCTATCAAAGCCCAAGGAAAAATGGAAAAAAGTAGGAAGAAGAAACATATAGTCATTCTACTGTATTGCATAGCAATGGCTACTTCTGCCAAACACCATATCCGTGCCCACTAGTTGCAAGACTCCATTCATTTCCAGATGGGCACCAAGTACCCTCCCCAATCTTCATGGAGATTTTGTCACCAATAACTGCAGCATACAGATTTGGTTGTGCTTCAAGAATTCGAATAGGTGATCGGCTAGTTATGCCTTGAATACGTCGAATATCCATCTGCACATGTATTATATATTTAGTTATTACTCCAAAAAAAGGCTATTTCGATGACCAAGATTTTAAACTTAGCGTACCAGCTTCACAATTTGGTCATGAATGGCACTGCCCCAGTCATAGAAATGGTCGTAAAAAACTGATGGTATGCCAGGATGTGTGAGTATGTATGCATAGCCCTGTAGAAACCAATGCAACAGAAAAGCATTTTAAAATCGGATGCTGGCGCCAAAATTAAATATGTGAAGAAAGACGTGAAAAAGGTGACATTAAATCAAGCTAAAATATGGTACGAAATATTAGAATTAAAAAAATTGTACTTCTCAAGGAGCACTGACCATCCGTTTTTTTATCCTAAGATTTAAACAAATCCTATAATGTCTCATTGAAACATAGGTTTAGAAACAACTCAACGTAGGAAAATACATTTTAGAACAAGATTTTCTATGCAATATATGACAATAGACATATCTGGGTTTATGAACCGAAGCACACAAATTCCTCAGATAATCTAGTCAAAGAGAATATCATATAGAATACCTCCATGATATGATTTGACGGAAAAGGCCAATGAGCCTGCAAAGAAAAATGTCATCAGCAACTACTTGCAAAATATAAGCTCTCTGATTCTGAAACGCAGTAATATATAGGCGACGCATGCATAATATGAACCGAGCATTATAGGGAATAAAGAATAATATCAAGATTCATGTCGGGCATTATTCATGGCTACTCATCTCCATGGAAATGAAGATGTACAAAGTTGCAGCTATCAAACTATTCAGATCACTAAATTAAACAAATTTGTCCTTTAAGCCACCAATTCAGCCCAAAAACGAAAGATGTAAAACGATTTGGTAGAAAAATGCTCTGGGATCTTCTCTAATAAATTATTTTTTTTCCTAAAATCTTCTTCCATTTATCAGGTCTGCTTCATAGTTAATTGGAGTAATAACTAGTACCTGAGTTGATCCAGTATCATGATTATCAAGAAAAGTAACAGCCCTTGAAGGCCACCATCCCATAACACCTGGTGGCTTCCCTTGTGCATCCCGCAGACGCCATAATTCTCCTTTAACAGCTTCCTGAATGGCAAAGCATCATAACACACATAAAGAATGATGAAGAATAATGAAACTATTCTCAGAATATGATTTCTCTTTCGAGTGTTTGTTTACGATTCTATTGAGATGAAAAGGGTAATATGTCGCTATGTATAGTCTACAAATAGTTGTGAAAAGGCCTAAATATTAGCAGGAAGAAAACAAGTGGTCAAATGGTAAAACCTTGTCCTTAAAGATCAACATACACTCGGATCTGTTAATTGACTTCTAAATTACCTGAAGGATACCCTTTGTTGTGAAGTCAAATGCAGCTGCAAGTTGCCCCGTAGCATCAATCCAGTTGATAATCCTTTGTCTATGACTATCTGCAGGTGGAATAAGTGGAGGGAAAGGTGATTGAACATATTGATAGAAGTTCTACTCAAGAAAAAAACATGTTTCTTTTAGACAAGCACGTGTTCTCTGCTCCAGACAACCGACGGAAGTCTACAGAATCTTTAATAAAATTTTGCGGATGAAACAGTGAAATAAGCATTAATACAATACTACTCAACACCAAATCTTCGTCAACTACATGCTTTGTGAAGGGAAAATGGAAAAGCACAGATACTACCTTCATGCCATTATTATTGATACACTTCCCATTTGGGGATGTTCAAAGAAATGTCCTTCATTATGAAAAGTCAAAACTAATTATTTTACAACAGCACAAAAACACTATTTAGAAATAATCTGTATCTAATCACCCAATAATTTTGAATTTATGAAAGTGGAAAATAGAGAAATTACTAATTGAAATGTCATTGTCATGACCCTATAAAGACAGGACTTTCCAAAATTATTTATGGGAGGTACTAGGGGATGAATATTTAAATTTTAATACAATCTTCGTCCACTTAACAATGATCTCAGGGTTGATTACTAGGGGATGAATATTTAAATTTTAGTACAATCTTCTTCCACTTAACAATGATCTCAGGGTTGATCGATATAACACATGGATCGATACAATCAAAATGGGGGATTCCAACTTAGTATATAAGTTCCCTATGTTGAAGTTTTATTAGTAACATAATATCGAAGCCCAATTTGTAGCATACATAAACATTCAAGTTTATTGTGTAAAAAAAAATTAAAGGGAAGAAAGCTAGTTCAAACATTTGATTGCACCTCTGCAACCTTTATATGCAGCTTTTTGTTGTTTATAATATAACTGCAAGTCTGCAACTAATTCATCTATATAAATTTCCACAGAAAGATAATACCTTGGTTATACTCCAAGTATTGACCTTTGTAATTGCAAGAATCCCAATATTCCCCAACAGAAAATATGGGCTTCGCATTCTCAATGTATTCCTTTACATATTTTGCGGAATAGCTACAATAGAACACAAAAAAATATATAGTGAAAAAGAGAAATAATCGTAGATAACAAACAAAAATGGGAAAGTGCATCTTAAGGACCTAAAAATAAGAAATTTTTTTAAATTTCATACCCTCTTGCAAAGTCAAAACGGAAATCTTGGAAGCCAATAGTGTTACGTAGCCACCTAAGCCAGTCAATAATGTCTTTCCTAACAAAGTGTTGGGTATGATCAATATTTGGGACACCATGAAAGTTGTCCCCAGTGCTTTTATTGCCCTAAAATCATGAAATTTACAAATAGGAAATGTAAATATGAAAGCAAATTCAAACATTCCATGAAATTGAAAAATACGAAGTTTACTTACCAATCCACCAGTACAAGATGTCACAGCACGTTCATCCCATGATATTGGAATTCCATCATAACGGTTATACTTTCCACCATGCCCTTGTGTAGTTCCGACTCGATGATTTATGACTATGTCGGCCATCGCTCTAACTTTGTACTGCTTCATCGTATTAAGTAAAGCTCTTAGCATGTTCTCGGAACCATATGAAGAATTAAGGGAGTAAAGGTTCTGGGGAAGGTAACCTGACATTGAAGAAAATAAAAAGGCAAAAGACGACTTTAGAGGGAAAACAAGGTACAAGATCAAGTACACGAGTATGATATGCTCTTCTTTCAACCTTCAGGTGCAAATGAATGGGACGGTGGGGGCAACCAGGCAGATGTGAAGCCAGACTTTGCCATATCAGGAACCTTTTTCTCTAAGTTTATCCACCAATCATGTTTATGAGATTCCCAGTTGAAGGCCTGTTAAAGCAACTCGTCAGAATTTCTCCCCATGCTTATCCCTTTATTTGGCACGTATGTGCTTTTCCTACTACATAAACTGAAAAAGGTTAACATTATAACTCACCTGCAGTAAAATCTCTTTCCCACTGCTAATACCTGCTGCAAATTGATTGAAACCACATTGTTAGTCAGCATTTATACTAATCAGATACCTCAATAGTTAAAAGATATTATGTCAAACTAAAAATTAGTAGTGCAGAAGATAGATCTGACGAAAGAAAAAAGACAAATGAGAATGTAACACAGAGCAAACTACTACTTCTATCATCTCTCAATATATCTCACATATCATCATGATTTCCAATATTTGAAGATATTGATAGATATGCCACTTATTCTATACGAAGAGAAAAAACTGGGCAGATGATAAATGTAGGCGGGTGAAAGGCAAGCTATATATATTTTCCATTCTTTGGTCGAACTCTTCATAACTCCCGAGTTGTTAATCATAGATAAGCTTTCCCATCAACCCATTGGCATCATATCACACTTAGGCACTGGTGAAGCTTTAATAAATTGTATATCATTAGCCAAAAAAAAGTAACAAAGATAAAGCACGAAGTGTAAATGTATAGCAGCTAGAAATTAAACTGCCACATGGTTATAGAAAGATCAAAAGAAATATGAAAGGAACGGGAAAAAATACCAGAATCAGTCTTCTGTTGATCAAACTCCTGCATTCAATATAGATGATAAGAGACAATGCAATCTTATCCTAAATGCGAATACTCAAATCAGAAACTATGTCATTCAGGTTTCTTTACATTTTTCCATTGATATAATAAAATAAATAGATAGAGATCAGATTAGGATGCCTACATTGTTCGTGTAATCCATGATGGATCAACTGGAGGTTTCCAAATATCTGATAGTAGAACAGATGAATTGGAGAGCGAATAAATCCCTGCATCCACCTTATACTCATTATTCACAGTTTCACTCCATTTTTAGAAGCATTACGAAAGAAGAATATCACAAACATTATGTCATTCTTAGAGACATGGAAAATGGCCACTGAAGTTTCATTTGGAAAAACTTGAATTCAAATTTGAATTGGTTTTACCACAATTCCATGCTGCCAAACACTAAACTTCCATAAATTTCTGAGTCTAAATATTATGGTGTGACAATTTCAAAAATAACAAAAATAAATACAGATATGTATTAGAAAATTGTGTACGTGAATCTGCATATGCTTTCTTGTACGGCACATAAATGCAACATTTCAACTTCGTTACTCGTGATAATTTACTTAAATTTGCAGACTATAAACATAATTGGCATCAAACTTATCCGGGATAAAGTTGAGATTGTTGTTGTTGCCTTGCAGCGGAATATAACATAATTAACATTGTATAGTTTCTCAGCATCAAGCAGAAAGTTAAAAAGAACTATCTTTTCACAAGTTAAAAGGACATTGAACAATATTACTAATGCGAAACACTCGAATTTCCAACAGCAATCGCTTGAACTAAAATATCAAAAGTTTAGCTCATAAAATATAAGTACCAATAGAAATCCGGAATCCAGAAAAAACTCAGTATTAAAGAAGAGAAACTAACCCGAATTGCAGGATCCTGAAATAGACAATTCCAGCTTAAATTAAACCTTAAAATTGATGATCCTTATATATGCATAGTACAAAAAAAGGCTGAAAAGTGTTAAAATTCCATCAATGGAAATATAAATTTCCAACCGTAAGAAAGAAAAAGGGGAAATCATAAAAGTACGGTATACAATTCTTGGCCAGAAATTAGAATATAAATCGTTTGATAATTAAAAGAAAAATCTTCGATTCTGAAATTCGCTGATAGTGATCGAAGGGAATCGCGTTGAGAATATAATTCGTTAATAATAAAAAGCAAACTTTTTGGGCTGTGAAATTCGCTGATTGTGAACAGAGTGGAATTGAGATTCGAGGATTTCGGGAAAGGGGTGGTGGTCTTTTGAATTCGACTTTTTGTAGTTGATGATTTGAGTGGGAATGTTCACATTCGATGGAATGGGGTGGAGAATAGTATGGCGGTGAACATGAAGAAGCATTACTCACAGGAGCTTCATAGCCCCCTCACAAAGGAGGGACCCACACGTATTTTAAAAAGAGTTTTGCTATACAAACATAATGATTGACATAGGGGATGACACAACATACACGAGGAGGTCGGCATTATTTAATTCAGATTGGGACCCACATGTAATGTGAGTGATCGGTCAACCCTTATGTCAAGCATTATGTTCATTTAGCTTAATTCTTTTAAAAAAAAAAAAAAGGGCGGGCCCCACCCTTTGTGAGGTGCCTGTAGAGAGTAATGGTTCTGTACATGAAGCATGAGTCCAAGAAGAAAGAGGTCAATTTCCTATGTTCGACTTTGTTTTGCTTACATCCGTCAATCCTTGCTTGACATATATATGACGTAACTTATTCAAATTTTAGGTAAGTAAAAAATAATTTGAGATAAATATAGAGGAAGCTATGTAAAAAATTAATAATAAAAAAATAATTAATATGGACGACCAGTTGAAATGCGCATTTTTACATTGGATATCTTTCCCTAAACTATAATTAAATAACAACATTCATGTGGTTTTAGACTTCAGGTGAATTTATAATTGTTATAATAGTCGATGAGAAATGCCACTAGAGGTGTCAATACGGACGGGCCGGCCATGACCCGTAAAAATCGGCCCGTGAAAATCGGGACCGCGGG